AGTGAAGAAAAAGTTGGAAACAAGCGAGGATTCACAAATAACAGGAGAACAGAATGTGAGTCCAGATGTCGATCTTTCCAAAAAAACTGGGAGACAAGAGACAGCAGGCGGTCAACCGGGAGATGAGAAAGACACGAAAAATCCCCAACCGCCACAACCATCACCAGAACCAAACAAATTACAGTCAGAAGAAACACATCTACCAATTCCAGCGGAAAAACATTTAAAGCCACAAGACGGAGGTCACCCACAGAAAAAGGAGATGCTACAAACGAAAGATTCTTCACAGCACGAAGAAGGAGAAACAATTTTCTCGGATACAAAGCGGAGTGCATCAAAGGAAATTACAGAAGCTACAACACCATTATCCGCCTCCAAATCTGGCAGCGGTATTGCAGGAAGCACGGTGGAGAACAGTGGTGCTAACAATCCTCAACCTCCTGCCACCTCAGTAAAACAACATGATTCCGAGGGAGATACTGGCTCCGTTGCTCTGCCAGCCAGCAACACCGAATTGCGAACAGAAGAAATATCTAACGCTGGTATAATTGCCACGACACATGATGACGACAGCGACGACAGCAGCCCTGCAGCTCCTATTGCTGAAAGGCCTACCGCTGGCACAAGAAGCACTCAAGCCTCTGGTGATGCGAGTGACCTTGAACAGTCTAATGACGACGTCAATGATGACGTGGCACACAAAGATAAAGTTGCAGAATTTGAAACCTCCTCAGGAGACAGGGACACTGAGGCAGATAATGAGAGATACACAACAGTACCACAGAATGCCACCAATAAAACAATCAATACAGAGATCACAGCAGACAGCGCCGGCAGCATCGCGGCCTCCCACACCACCTCCCCTCTTTTGCTTCTTCTTGTTGTTGTTGCGTGTGCGGCTGCTGCGGTGGTGGCCGCGTGAGAGTGAGTGTGAGAGAGCCGTGCACCGCCCGCACACACACTCTTCCTTCTCTCTGTGTGTGTGTGTCCCCTTGCATGGACTCTCGCCCTCACCTCACCCCACGAAGCACACACAATAATGTGCCCATTGTATATATGCATGCACACCCATGCAGGCCCGTTGGTGCTCTCTTTTGCACGACACGCACCGCTGCCGTCCTGCCTGGCTGCATGGGCGGAGCACCGTAACTGTTTTGTTTTTATTGCATTGAGTGGGCGACCTCTCTCTCTCTCCCTCTGTGTGTGTGTTTTGCTTTACGGGAGCAGTGAGAGTGTGTGCGCTGGTCGTCCCACGCTTCGGCTTTTTGTTTTGTTTTTCATTGTTTTGTGGTTGATTCCGCCCATTATGTTTTTTTTTTTTGGTTTGGTGGTTTGCTTAGAATGTGGACGCATGATTTTTTATTTTATTTTCTTTTTTCTTTTGTTTTGCGGTATTGTCAGTGTTTCTTATCCTTGTCAAGCCATTAATTGCTTTCTTTTACGTACAGCATGCGCCAATTGGTCACGTTAACCCACGGTCTGCAGTGCTGCTGGTGCTTGTGGTTGTGATGATGTGTGTGGTGTGATTCCCGAGAGGGAGTCCGTTGCCACCAGGATTCGTGTGGGCGATTGGGATGTTTCTAAGCAAAAAGGTATGAGATGTATAATGCCATTTTCAATGGCAAGGCACTCTGCTCTATATGAGCATGCGAGCCTGCCAGCTGCTGCACGATGGACCTCCACAGGGAGATCATTTGTCGTGGTGGAGCCATACAATAGTGCAGCGGATCCAGATGCGAGCTCAGCGAGAGATGAAGAAACGTCCGTCCATAATTCAAAATCATACGCTCCCAGAGAGGAGTAAATAGAATCAATAGCCGTGCGCTTGACGTCGTCAGAGGCGTCTTGGGCAAAGCGTGGCTGATTAAATTCCACTTTATTGCAGCTCACAGTGTCCCAGGGGAAAATACGATGTTGAATAGGAGGGGCACGATTGTGGCTGTAGGGTGTCCCAATAGTATTACATACGCGGCGTAATCCATTAATAACAGCATCCTCGGAAGCGGGATTGATGTCGCCGCCTTTCACGCATGGACGGCGGCATAGGTTCCGAGTGGGTAAGGGAACGCACGTCCTCAATACATCGGAAAAGTGTGAGGCGTTTGTGTTGTGTGGTTGCACGGAACCCAATGATCCTCCGCAGAGGTGCTGGACTGGCGGCCAGGTGGACAGAAGTATCCTTCTTTGATGCGCGTGGGCCGAGCGATGCAGTGCAGCTGTCGCGGTGCTGCACTTCCAGTCTTTGGAGGTGAATGGGAGCCGGACACGGTGCGATCGCCTCGCCGCTGTGGTGCAAAACGCTCTGTGGACGCACCCAACCAGAAGGGACTGCATGGTGTGCTGGGACGCACCAGCCTCTGCGCCCAGCCGCAGCCGATGGCGGCGTGGCACGGTCTACTTTGGTGTCTGTGTGAAGAATTTTGCTGTTTTTTAAATTTTGGTACGGGCCGATGGTGCATTGGCGTTTTCTGATTCAGTAGGGGAAATGCGTTTTGAAGAAGCCGTTGCAGGTATTCAGCGCCGTTGTGAATAACAGATGTGCGACTGCCTCCGTGAAGGCGACAACAGTGTCTTGGATTACAGCATAAGGCACTGCAGCTTAATCTGGTGTTTTACAGCAATTTTATTGGACGGTGCGCTTGTTTTCAATATTTTGCAGCTTTTGTGGGAAAAGGCGGGAGGTTGAGGGCATTAGGACTGAATTCATTTGTGTGGCTGCGTTCCGTTGAGTTGCGGCCAGCCGTGGCACTCTTTTGGGGTTTGACAGCTGTCTCTTTTGTTTACTTCCCACTGCATCACGCGGATAACACTGATCCGAAGAACATTTGTTTGACCGCGTGTGGGCTGCTGCCGTGCGTGGTGCATGGACTATGTGATTGTGTGGGGAGGTGCGTTGGAGTGACGAATACTTCTGTTTGGCGTGTCGCGGTGTGTTGGAATGATGTTCGGAAATCATGTGGAGGGTGTTGTGTGTAGTTTGTGTTTCCTCTCTGGTGGAGCCGACGTGTGTGGGGGATTGTGGCGTTGCTGGCTGACAGCTCCACGTCACTTTTCAGCATTCCTGGATGTGCTGAGGAATGACGGCTGGCGACCAGCGTGTTGGTGCTGCCGGTGGGAATAGGAGCATCGGGAATAGGCCACTTTCTCTTTTCCGTGCTGGAGCCGATGAACTGGCACGAGGGCACCGGCTGCAGGCTGCCTGCCAGCACGTGTGAGCAGCGGATCCATGCACACACCGACGCACATCGCAAGAGCATGTGCGATCACAGTGGCTTTTTGTGGCGTGCTTCTATGGACGTCAGCCTATCGAGGAATGTGTGAAGCAAACGGCTGACTGCACACGAGGAAAATAAGTGCGTGCACTGTGCCGTGTTTCAGCGTCGATGGCAGAGCGACAGGAAGCCCGTGCTGGCAACCGAGATCTTTGCGTCGCGAGGGATGTCGGTATTGATTTTGGATCGTCGAGGGTGAAGTGATTTTGCTGCTGCCTATGTGTGTGGCCACTCCGGCAGAGGGCGGACACAAAAGGGAGGGATGCAGGCGCTGCGTGTGTGTGTGCAGGTGCCATGCAACAACGTCACAGCAAACATGCTGCGACTCGGTGACCCTCACATCGCTGCGGTCCTCACGAACAGCCAAGGCACGGCCCACATCGATGCACTTAGTGGACGGAGTGAGGCATCTTTTGAGGCGCTGCAGGGAACAGGATGTGTTGACGCAGCCACGACGTGCATGGAGTGTCACGATGGCACAGTCGGCTGTGGCTTGTGGAATATTTACTTCTCGGAGGCAACAGCGAAAGAGAGAGAGAGCTGCTCCTGCTGCTGGCGTCGTTGCTGCCTTTTGTGGCCTCCCATGCCGATTATTGTCTGTCCGCTGATTATGGGTGGCATGCCTCCACTAGTGACGTCGTCTGCAGGCATTTCACAGCACCAGCGAAACACACATCATGTCGCATGCTTTGGCTGTGGATGTGGTGTCGTGAATGCAGCCGGCATTATTTTGCCCGACTCCTTTTCACTGCATTGCGACAAATAGATGCGTCGCCGCCCGAGTCATTGACTGCAGCTCCGTGTGTTGTACCGCCAGCACAAGACTCTCCTGTTGTCTGACGCCTGGCTGACAGTCAAGCACCACTGCGTTGGGGCATGCAAGGATGTGGACTGCCGCTCACGGTGTTGGGCACCGCTGTTTGGATGCGGCGGCCACACGAGCGGATGTATTGTGGCACAATCGAATGCGTGAAATACGCGGAACCACAGCGGCTGCAATAATATCAGCGGTGTGGCACCACGGAATATGTGAGAGGGTGATGCATGATGAATCACGGTGGGCGGCATGCGAGGGAAGTGCACCGCGACGGAGCGTCGTCCCGCCCTCAGCCTGCAGGGGAATGTGCGCCCACAAAATATATAGACGAGACACCACCAAACACGCATGCCCTTCCATGCACCAATAAATAGGAGCGAAGATGCGTTCTGGTGCGTGGGAGTCCACTCACATATTTTCATTTTCACCGCAATAAACGGTGAGGAATCAGGTGCCGCAGCAACGAAGGAGGAAATAAAAACATCTATTGCAGCACTTTACCAGCGAAAGGCAGGAACAGCACAAACCGAATTATTGGCTGCACCAACACAAGAAACATTCACAAGAGAAAAAAAATAATTGTGCACCCTGCGGGAACCCCCAACACACGATGCAGACATGAAGGCTTACCCTCTGCAAAACAAAACAAAACATGCGGACATCTTCCAACATTCAAACAGAAATACGAATAAATGGTTGCCTGCACTCTTCTATTCCCTGCGCTAAATATGAACGAGGGCCAAAGGCAACTGAGTTGCTCTTGTAATAAATATTGGCTGCACTTCCCGTGGACCAGTAATTCACGTGGTGTGCGGGGATCTCCCTTTAATTATTGTTACTTTGCCTTTGTGTTGCTGTGTGCGCTGCACCTTCTCTTGTGTGTGTGCGCACCCTCCGTGAGGGGTGCAGACACGACGGACCGCTCTCGCCGTGTGTGCATGCGGTGGAGCCTTGTGTGCCGCTCCTGTTTGCTTCTCCCACTTCCATCTGTGTGTTGGTGTTGCGGCAGGCCTGTGTGTGTGTGTGTGCGGCGTACGATGCATGCCTGGCTGCTGCCCTCTTCTCTTGTGGTGTGCCCTCTGTGTGTGTCTGCCGCACCTCTCGTCTCCCCTGTTGCTCTCCATGTCCCTCACTGTGCAGATCAGCTCCACACCACTGAACGACCACACTCACGATGATGATGACGTGCCGTCTGCTGTGCGCCCTGCTGGTGCTTGCCCTGTGCTGCTGCCCGTCCGTGTGCGCGAAAGACACTGAACTGGTTCCGAATTCAGGCTCTAATGGAAATATTTCTAGTCTGCCGTCCCATGCACCAGCCACTAATTCAGCTTCGGTGGCCCCAGGAATTTCAAACAAGAACGCGACGCCTGGGGATCCTGCCGACGTCGGTCCATCGCCCTCTCAACGAGAGGCAGTATCACAGGTGACCGCTCCGTCAGGGCCGCCGAGTAATGGGCTCGGTGCGGAACCGGGAAAAGTTGGTGGAAAGGGATCAGAATCAAAAGACACGATCGATGTGCAGCAGGGAGAAGATAGCGACGACAAGGCTGGAACAGGAATTGACACGAATACATCTGCAGACCAAAAAGATAAGAACGCCAGAGTTGCTGCCAAGACGACCACGACGACGACTAAAACAAAGGCACCAACCACGACGACCACCACTGCGCCGGAGACAACACAGGCACCAACCACGACGACGACTACTACAACCACCACCACTACGACTACTGAGGCGCCAACCACGACGACCACCCGCGCACCGTCACGTCTTCGTGAAATGGACGGCAGCCTCAGCAGCTCGACGTGGGTGTTTGCCCCACTGCTGCTCGCCGTATCCGCGCTGGCGTACAACGCTCTGGGCTGAAGATTTGTATGCAGGCTGTGCGTTCCAGCACTCAACCGCGGGGATTTGTGCGCGTCTACTGTGGTCCGATGTAAATAAATAAATAATAGAAAATAATGATTGTGTTTTGCCTTATTTGCTTCCGCTGCCCTGCTGTGTGCTCCTTGCCGATCCCTGCATCCGTCACGTTGAACGCACCCCAGACACACTCATATGCATGGCACGCACACGACTGATTGCGTGGAGTCACATTTGAGGATGGGTGCATGCGCGCTGGAGCCATACTGTGCAGCCTTTGTTTTGTGTTTACATTTTTAACTTCATTGCTGTTTGTTTACATGTGTTTTGTTTCTAATTGTTTTGTGTGTTTTCTCTGTTTACTTGCTGCGGGGCGTTGTGTGTTTTTGCCCTTTCACTGCTTTCAACTGCCTCATGGTGTGTGTGCGCTGCCACTGCTGGGCTGCTGCCATTTGTGACTGTGCGGTTGCTTTGCGTGGTGTAGCGGTCGTGTCTTTCTCCTTTTGCTTTCACTCTGCGTTGACGTGTTGTTAGTTTGTGCTGAAGGCTGCACGCAAGTGACAGGAGTGATGGCGATGATGATGAATGGCCGTGTGCTGCTGGTGTGTGCCCTCTGCGTGCTGTGGTGCGGTGCCAGCGGGGCTGATGCGAGTAATCTCGACAACGACGCAGTTGGTGGCTGCATGGCGTCGTGGGTGTTGAATACGAATAAATCGTATACGCCGAGCGGATGTGACAGAACTGCGCTGACGCTGCCTTTACGATCTGTCTTGTCCACCACTGCCGTTGAAGCTTCGACTGACCCATTGGTGACTGGTACAGCAGAAAATAAATCAGATTTAGCTCCAAATTCATGTGCTGATTTCGGTTGTGCCGGTTTCCCTCCTGGTCGCGGAGGTGAAGGTGGAGGCGATAGAGACGACGGTGCTGGCGGTCCTGTTGGCGTTGGAGGTGCCAGTGGCAGTCAAGCTCGTGGCAGCAACGCTTCTGGTGGCGGTGGTGGTGGTTCAAATGGAGGTTCTAAAGCACTTGTTGGTGGCTCTTTGAAGTCCCCTGCTTCGGATGTCAAGTCCCCATCTCCTGTTCTCGGTGATGGTGGCAGTTCTCCTGGGGCTCCTGCAGGAAGTGTAGGTTCTGACGGAAGCAAAGGTTTCATTTCTGGCTCCTTTTCTTCTGCTGGTCGCAGTCAACCTGATGCTGGCAGTCCAGGTGGTGATACATCTTTGAGCGCTCCTGTTGCTGGTGGTAATTCCCCACCCTCCATCACCGACGAGAGTGATGCGTTGGAGAAGACCGGCGCTGCGGCATCCACAAAGGGAAGGAAACCCCAAGAAGCAGGTGAGCAGTCAGAAGCAAATCGTGCACGGAACGAATTGCCCAAATTGTCGGCACCAGCGGAGTCAACACCCGAAGCACAAGAAGACTCTCCCAATAAACAAGAAAAACCAAAAAATGAAGCTGCTGGTAGGGCCGCAACTGGAAAAGAGAAACGGCGGATTGACGCGGAGGCACAAGGTCCTTCCACCGTGATGTCCACCGCCAGCGCCAGCAACGGTAGGAGAACAACCAACAGCAGTGGCAGTTCCGGCAGGAGGAAGCCCAACAGCACAAACAGACTCGCAAAATTTGACAGAAGAAAGGACAAAAACGCCGCCGTCACCAAACAAAAAGGAGCCTGAAGAGACGGAACCTACTTCTGGAGATGGTGTGGCAGAGCAACAGGGTCAAGGCACAGTTTTACCGGATCTGAAGGGTGGACCTACCGGCAGCCCGGCGGAAGTAACGGCATCATCCATCTCTACAAGTGGCAGTGATGATGGCCGGAGTAGGGCGGATGAGAATGACGGCAACAGCAGAGGGCCCAACCCCGGAGGGCTAAACAACGACCCCGAAGCCAGTCATACCAACGTTGCGCCCACAGCCAGTGAGACAAAACCACGTACAGCGAAAGCAGCAGCTACCGCCAGAACAGATGGTACGGCAAAGCCTGGCAGCAGTGACGGCAGCACCGCGGTCTCCCACGCCACCTCCCCTCTTTTGCTTCTTCTTGTTGTTGCGTGTGCGGCTGCCGCTGCGGTGGTGGCCGCGTGAGAGTGAGGGAGAGAGAGAGCCGTGCACCGCCCGCACACACACTCGTCCTTCACTCTCTGTGTGTGTGTGTCCCCTTGCATGGACTCTCGCCCTCACCTCACCCCACGAGGCACACACATAATGTGCCCATTGTATATATGCATGCACACCCATGCAGGCCCGTTGGTGCTCTCTTTTGCACGACACGCACCGCTGCCGTCCTGCCTGGCTGCATGGGCGGAGCACCGCAACTGTTTCTGTTTTGTTTTTATTGCATTGAGTGGGCGACCTCTCTCTCTCTCCCTCTGTGTGTGTTTTGCTTTACGGGAGTAATGAGTGTGTGTGTGCGCTGGTCGTCCCACGCCTCGGCTTTTTGTTTTATTGTTTTACTCGTCTTGTGTTATGGTTGAGAGCACCTTTTCCACTACTTTTTTTTTTTTGATTGGTATTTTGCTTTGACTGCGGACGCCTAAATTCTCTTTTTCATTTTTTCTTTTCCTTTGAGATATTGTCAGTGTTTCCTATTCTTTCCAAACCATGAAGTATTTTCTGTTACGTACAGCATGTGTCAGTTGATCCACGTCACTTCACGGTCTGCGGTGCTTCTGGTGCTTCTGTTTGTGATGTGTTGTGCCAGCGGGTGCTTTGCTGCCAGCCTGACGTGCTCCTGCTCCTCTGACAAGGCGATGCGTGCCCACAGGGCGAAGGTGATCGCGGCTGTGGTGAGGGACGTGCCTTTTGGATCTGAGGGTGCGTCGCAGACATGCAGCGTCATTGGGAGGAATGGATGGGCGCCCACCCGCATGAATGTGTCGACAAGGGACCTGGATGATGCCAGGAAGCATTGCAGCTCAGAGCGGTAGCACGCAATGAATTCATTGGGGCAATTGCGAGTGTGAAGATGACGTTTTTCTATGCTGAGAAAAGGGAAGTATTTGTTTCGTTATACTTTGCTGCCACTGCTCGTTAATGGCCTGCAGGCTGTCCGTAGCGATGTGGCCAGTTTTTCCGTCTTGAACGGTGCTGTCGTGCGAAAGGGTGTGCTCCCAAATAGTCGGATGCTCAGTCGTCGAGGACGGGGGCATTCCCACAGCGTGTGCGGCAGGCCTTCCCGTGGATTGTCGGGGGCTCAGCGGCTGGTGGGGTTGCAGAAGAGGAGTGGCTGAAGGGCTACGGCTGTCATTGGAGCTTGCAGAGGTGCGTTGTCCGTTTTTTGCTCGTTGATACGCCTGACATTTTCGGTAGTGACCTGCGCGTGAGGCACTTGTTGGGGAGACCGTGGAGCTGCCGCAGAATCCACATGTGAGGCCTTCTGCAACGGTTGGAGTGCCGGGGTTAGTGCGTCGGGCATGTGCCTTCATATGATGGGCGGACGAGAAGACGCTGCTGCAGCTTGGGCGGGGCGACGTTGATCTGCTGCTCGTCTTTCTACGAGGAGGTGCCGTGGACACGCCAGGTGGAGGTTCCGGAGGAGGTCGGGGCGGTCCTGCCTCTTCAGTGTGAGAGGGACGGCACCACCGACACAAAGGGTTGCCTGTGATCCGCAGGGCGCGTGCCGGTCAGCCGAGGAGTGGGCAGGAGGACGTCCATCAGCCGCTTGCTGGTCGGCAAGGAGTGGCAGTATTCAAGTCAGGAAGAGGTTACGGCGGAGGCAGAGCACAGACGCGGTCCCAACAGCACCGCAGCACAGCCGATTACAGAGGGCAGGGACGTGGTGCCGCCATGCCTCGGAGCATCACAGGCTTGGGATCGAGAGAGCACCAGACTTTTTCGCACAGACCGCTAGCGGCACGATGAAAACACGGCGAAGGGCATGATTGCGTCCCTCCCGTTTGCGGAGTACTTCAGCTCGGGGCAGGCTGCCGCTGCAACACACTCGGCCTGCTCCATTCCGTCCGTCGTGATTCCTGTGGGACTGTCACGGCTGCCGCGCGGTACGGTGCATTTCCAACCATGTGGTCACAGTGGCCAGAGGTGTTCCACACGCCGTGGTGGAAGCATTCCAGTCGGCATCACGCAGGACAAAGGCGACATGTTTCCGTTGTGGCAGCATGCCTGCCAATCGCGGGGTGCCGTCCTCCGTCCCTGCAGTGTGGGATTGCAGATGGTGGTCCGAGTCTATGTAAACAGGTGGAAGTACAGTGGGAGAAACGCAGTGCGCGTTGCGCAGTCACGTCGGGAAACGAGACGCTGCGGCCGCTAATCCGCGTTGCCTGTGCCGGGACGTCAGAAAGCACACAGTCCATGCCGCTTGAGGTGGTGGCGAGGCCCTCTCCTGACGTCGTGGATGGTGAGCAACCGTCCCGGAGCTCATGGTGTGAATTCAGGTCGTCCGCAATAGGTGCTGCAGGACCAAGGCGACGAATGTCGCTCGCAAAGTGTGAAACGTGAGCAATTACTGTAGGAAGGCTGCAGAGATTCACCACGTACATGCTGGGGCTGGCCGGTGGGCACACGCAGAAGGCGGTGGTCTCCAGGCAGTTGGTTCCACGAGCGACAGGCGCTCCCACGGAAAGGTGTGGCGCACAACGAAGGCCACGCCACCGGCACGCCCACTGCAGGCCTGGTGGAAGTCAATGCAGACAATGAGCCTCGTCGCTGGCACTCTGGTGCCTGCTCTCCTGCAGAAGAGCCATTTCGCGCTGGTGCTGCGCCAGTCAAGCAGCAAGGGCAATCCTGAGGGGGAACGGCTTGAACTTCTGAGATGCGGCTCTTGCGGAAACCACCGCAGCGGGTGATGCTGGCGGAGCGACCGCAATGAAACGACTGTGCGGTTGTCAGTCGGGCTGCAGGCAAACCGCCTCGCCGCCCCACAACCGACAGAGCGTGGGATCCTCTCGAGGGGTGACGCCGTCGTGGTCCCCGTCACGCCCGCAGCAATGCCCTGCCGCAATCACTCCCACAGAGAGACAATAAAGAGTCTTGTGGATGTG